CTCCCTTGATTTTTTTTTTGGTAAAAAAAAAATAAAAAAAAAAAAAAAAAAAAAAAAAAAAAAAATTTAAAAAAAAAAAAAAAAAAAAAAAAAAAAAAAGGCATTTTGAAAGTTAAGAGAACAGTCAGAAATAAAATTTTTGTAACTTAATGGGAACGCTAGAAACATGCTCTTAGAACATATTTTTGTTAGCTGGGTATAGCCTACAGTATGTTTAGCTTTTTACCTCTGCTGACTGTATTTAGGCCTTAAGTTGTTCATTTGTGACACTGGACCACAAAACCAGTCATAAGAGTCCATTTGAAATTGACAATATTTATATATCGGACAATATTTGGCCGAGATACAACTATTTGAAAATCTGGAATCTGAAGGTGTAAAAAAAAAAAAAAAAAATCTAAATATTGAGAAAAATCACCTTTAAAGTTGTCCAAATTAAGTTCTTAGCAATGCATATTACTAATCAAATTAAGTTGATATTTACGGTAGGAAATTTACAAAATATCTTCATGGAACATGATCTTTACTTAATATCCTAATGATTTTTGGCATAAAAAAAAAATTGACCCATACAATATATTGTTGGCTATTGCTACAAATATACCTGTGCTGCTTATGACTGCTTTTGTGCTCCAGGATCACATGTGATGTAAGAGAATCATGTAGGAGTCATACAAACATACGTCATCACTGCAGCACTCTAAACCCCCAAAAACATGGTACTGCCATGGTGCTTTTGTGTAAGTGTTTCTTACGATGTGAAGTGTGAGGTGTATCTGCTGGTCGTGACTCTGTCTGTCCCCAGTGTGTTTCTCTGAGGACGTCCCATCAGGCTCTCTATGGCAGTCAGAGGCGCTGCTGCTCTGTGCGGCTCAGGGTTTCAGAAGGCAGGCTGGAGTAAACTAGAGATGAAGAAATCTGAGAGCCACAAGTTCCACAGCTGTAGTCTCTCGTGCCGGATGACCCCAAACCCCCTGAGTTTTCTCCATCCTTATCAGCTGATTTGGCTTTCTCCTGTAGAGGAATAACAATAGAGGTTCAGTTTAACTACTGTGAGAGAACTACACAACCATGTCACACAGCAAAGACACGGTAGACGTCAGCGAGTAGAAGTGAATTTCCTCTATATCTTAGAGAAAATAAAAGCTGTCATAATGCTTGAGAATTAACAGATTAAAATAAGCAAGCTTGGATTAGCTCATGCATGCTTGTCATCATGGTTTTCTGATCGTGAAGACTTTCCTGAGTCCTGGGATTAAAACAAAAGCAACAAGACACAATCATCAGACACAAGACAAATGAAACTACGTCAAATGTATGACATGCATGACATTGACATTGTCCGACAACAATGCAGCATATATTACATATACAGTATGTCATACATGCATATACAAAACCATAAAAATTGTTACTTGAAATTAAATCTACAAATGAAATCAATTAAAATAAAATACAAACATAAAATGCACTTAATTATACAGACATAAAAAAAAAAACTAAAAATTAATAAACTAATAAAAATGACAAAAAGCAAAAACAAAATGACTAAACATTTAACTATATTTAAAATGAAAATACCAAAATAACTAATTCAACATTAATAAAAACTATAAAAGCATCTTAATGATACTAAAACAACACTGGCAAAATCTCTTATTTTTGAATTGACTTTATAAAGTGAGTTGCAACATTTTCTTTGCATCTTATTCACTAACCACCAGTAATGCAGGTTAACCAGGCGTTAGAGTAGTTCACTTCCAGAACAAACGTTTACAGATAATGTACTCACCCCCTTGTCATCCAAGATGTTCATGTCTTTCTTTCTATGGTCTTATCTAGTGAAACGGTTATTTTTCAATTTTTTTTTTTTTACAAATTTATATACTTTTTAACCTCAAACCCTCTTCTTGTCTAGCTCTGCATGAACTCTGTGCAGTCCCGTTCGAAACAGTTAGGGTATGTTGAAAAACTCCCATCTCATTTTTTCCTCCAACATCGCTGCAGAAATACCGACCCAGTGTTTACAAAGTGAACATGCAAAGAAGATCAAACGCCCTTTACAAAAAAAAAGGTAAAACAGTGATGTAGGACGATTTTGAAGTTGGAGGAGAAAATGAGATGGGAGTTTTTCGAC